GATGGACTGGCTGCACAGAGACTCCAGTGGCCCCAGTGCTGTGCTCTGGGTCAGCTTTCCTTTTTCAAGATGTTGCAGGAAGAACTGTTGTGAGCTGTGGCTCCAGCCCCATCAGCTCACAGACACTGTGCTGCAGCCCGGCTGGGTATTTTACTTTTAACCACGAGGGCTTTTAATTCCACAGGAAATCTTTTGAAGTACAAGTCAGTCTTTGCAAATGAGTATCTTCGACTTTCTCGGGGGGGTTCTGTTTGGGTTTGGGGTGGGGGGGGGGGGGGCTGGGGTTGGTTTCATACGTGTTTAATATTCTGGGCTTGGTCCCTGCGGTGCTGCATCCCGGGAGCACGATGGTTCTGCTCCAGAGGGATGCAGCCACTCGGGCCATGCTCCCATGTACAGTTCTCACCGGGGTTTGTTTCCACGCGTTGAGCCCTTTCTCTCCCCATTTCTCGTGACTGTACTTCTCCTCCCAGCCTTCCTTCCTTCCTTTTTTCCCCTCATTTCTTTCCCTCTGTAGCTTGGAAACTAAGCAAACGGTTGGCTTTCACTAACCTTCACCTGGTGATCTGTTGTACAGGATTTTGGGGATCTCGGGGAGGAGGGAAAGTTAAAAAAAAAGAAATTAAAAAAAAAAAAAAAAAAAAAGAAAAAAAGGAATAAACTACTTTGACATGGGCTTTGAGGTGTTTCTTTTTGTCCCTGCCCCTGTGAACATGGGGTGGTGTTTGCGAAGCTCTCGTGTGGGCATAGGATGTCCCTGCTGCTGAGGGGAGCAATGCAGCAGCAGTTGGGGTGCACACCCCAGTGTGGGTGGTGAGCCTTTAGCCTGGCATTGGGGGGTCACACCTGGAGAAACACAGAGCAACAACCCCCTTGGGAGCTCGGAAAGGCCCTTTTCTTTACTGGCATCGTAGCAAGTCTCTTTGCTCAGAAACTCCTGAGGAGCTTCAGAGTTGCAGTTCCTAAAGCCACTCACATACAGTCCTAAAGCAACCCAGAGCAGTGGTCCCAAAATCCCCCAAAACTGTTGGAACTTTTCCTTGCATCACTGTCCAAGCAGCCATGATTCCCCTGACTTCAATCTGCTTTGCTTCCCCTGGGCACCAGCAAGTTTGCAGCCCTGACTCCAGTGTTCCCAGTACCCCACTACAAACTGGAGAATAAAACAAAATACCACCATAAATATGACAACTTTATTAAAATATACATATGAGTACAAATTAATGATTATATGGATAAAGTTCACTGTCTGTAAACAAATATATTAAAAAAGAGCACGTCTTTTTTGTGATATAAAGTGCAGTTATGTTTCCATATTATATACAATATGTCAGCATCGGAGGGGGGGTTGTAAGGACTATGGAACTAACATTTGATTATAAGATAAAATTCTCTGAAAAAGTATACACCTACATATTACAAAAAAGGGCTTGAGTTCATTTAGCAAATGAGAATCAGCCTCCCACCACTTTAAATGCAGCTAACGAGAGTGTGCAGGTCTTGGGATAAATTAGGAGAGAGGCACTAATCCCCTTGACAGAGGGAAACTTGCACTTCCCCGAGTTCACACCTTCCCCTCACCAACCCCAAACTTGCACGGAGGGAAGAAACCAAAGGACCAGACCTTGTGAAAAACACATGGATGTACCTGCAGTTTGGGGGGAATCAAATATACACGACTTTATGTACAGCTCTGAGAGCGGGGGGGCTCCCAACGGGCAGAGGTGCCGGCTCTGCGCTGAGTCGCGCCGGCACTGTCCCGGGAGAGGGACGAGGAGAGGAGTTGTGCATCGGTGGGGAAATGAAAACCAACCCCAGAGCATCCTGATCACCAGTCTGTGGGACGTGTGGCTAAATGGAACGCGGAGCCCTCGCTAAGGGAGGCGCTGCCGGCACTAGGAGTGGGGCGCGCGGCAGGAGCGGCAGCAGGCTTTGCTGTAGTACCAGTGGCTGCACAGGTTCACTTTGATGGCCAAAGCACAGTTGGTCCCTGCCTGGTCCTGGCAGCTGTCATCTGGGGGAGAGAGCACAAAAGGCATAATGTGGAAAAAGAAATGAAAAATAAACCATTGCAAGCTCGTGAGCTCATTTCCCACCCCTCTGCACAGCTGCCCTAAACACCACGGGCTGCAACTGCCACCTCCCTGATACCTGGCAGAGCATCCTCTGGAAAACACCATGGAGCTTCTCAACCTGAGCAAAAAGGCTGACCCATTCAGTCACACCAGGCCTGGCTTGGGGAGTCTCATTTGGTCCCAGTCCTGAAGCTCAAGCTCTTTCCTGGGAAACGGAGCTGCCCAGGGATTGCTGGAGTCACCGAGGGAGACTGGCACTGAGCTTCCCCCAAGCCAAGGGCATCCCCTGGTAGGGCACAGGGTGATTCCAACATATTCACAATTTCTGCCCCAAGGAGGCAACTTGAGAAAGGGAATCCAGCAGTGCCACAGCCAGAGTTAAGGGCAAGTGAAATGCTGGAGACAGGAAAGAGTCCAGAGGCTGCTTCAATGCTCTCCCAGCTCCTTTCAGAGCAACAGTTTTCTTCTAACCCATAGGATTTCCACTTTTATATATATTTTTATATATTTTTCTTAAGATCCGTAGGATACATGAAGCCAGACTGGTCACTGGGCAGGCAGTTGAATACAAGGTCACCACAAGGCACCTCACAAGCTCCATGCCCCATCCTCATCCCAAGGGAGTGGGCAGCTGAGAGTGCCCAGCAAGGCCAGAGCTGAGCCAGGAGCCAGTCCCAAATCTGTCTCCCATTTTCATGCTTTTCTCCCACACCGTCCTTATTCCCAAATCCTATTAAAGGATTAGAACCGCGTGTTTGCTAAAGATCACAGGGACTTTGAGCCAGCAGACGAGTCAGATAAT